TTTAAGACATATTAAATGTTCTCAAAATTAGAATATGGTGAAGAAAAAGCATCAGGGCTAAAATTATGAACACCCAATTTGGAAAAGGCTATGGAGGACAGTGGGAGCCCCATCTACAGAGGATCCAGTCAGACCATGCCCCTGGCAGATCCACTCAAGTAAAAGACAAGAGCCCCAAACAAGCCTACTCTCAGGCAGTGACTATTGTAATCAGAATTATATGGGATTGATTCAGTACCAGACCAGTTGTCCTCTATAGACACAACATGAATTTGCACTTGGTGCAACTATCCCTTAGCTGTCTCATGACAGAAATTGCCTTCCCGGGCATTTTGAATGTTGATGGGGCTCTTCATCTTACACATCATTTGTATTGGTCTTCCCAGCCATGAAGCACAGGAGGAAGGGATGTATGATGAAATAAAAGATGCAAAGTGTTATGGGGAATGAGGAGGGAGGTGAAAGGGATGGAAAGAGGATTTCCAGAGTAAACAATGAAGACAGGATGGAACACTAGAACTGATCGTGATTGCACAGTTCCATTTAAGGATGATATGATCATGGGTTGGGGCTGGTTGGGGAAGGGGGTGTCTATGGTAGATGTGGTGGTGATAGTATCTACTCCTCTTGATGTGATGAACAATTGAACTGTTATGGGATGAAAAGGATAGAAAGAGACAGTTCTATCAAATGGTCAGATTTTGCCACTAAGAGTTTCTTAAGATAAATGCTCTTGAAAGAGGAAGTGTGGCATGTATGGGGAGAATGACTATTACTTTTCATTCTGATGTGTCATTACTCCTAAAAAAAGAAACTTCGCATTTTCAGATGTTATGATGTAGTCAGAGAGTCAAGGCCAGAGCATGAAATCAGCAAGGGAACAAATGTATTAAGGAGACTCATGGGGAGCCAACGTGGAGAGAATGATTCTGACTCCAATTAAATTGCTGAAGAGCTTTAAAAGGCCTTTGGGTTATGTGGGGCGGGGAGAAGAAATAAGGAAGGGAATGTGTGAATTTCAGGTAGAAATAGCAACATGGGGAAAGGAAAAAATGCTAAGAAAATGGTAATGCGATCATCACACCTAATAAATGGCACCTGTTGTACGTTCACATAGTAGGATAAGCACTTCTCAGGTTAGTGGGTTACACTATGGGCTTCTAACCACAGGTCCGCAATTCAACCCTACCAGCCACTGCATGGGAGAAAGTATAGAGCAGTGGTTCTCAACCTTCCTAATGCTGTGATCCTTTAATACCATTCCTCATGTTGTTGTGACCCCTAACCATAACATTATTTTCATTGTTACTTCATAACTATAAGGAGGCCAATTTTATGGAGGCCAATTCAGCAATTGGGAGCATTCTCTCTGGGAGAAAGGAAAGACCCTTGGCAAAGAGTCACTGTACCACAAAGAATTAGTCAATATTCCACCATTTCAGGAGGCAACATATGAGCAAGAACGAATGGCACTGCTGGAAGAAGTTCACACTGCATGGGATGTGTTAGACAGTAACAGGCTGCAGGAATTGAAGTGCTTCAGAAACGAAAGAAGCACTGGAAACACTCACACATCTATGCCAGGAAATTTGGAAACGAGCTGAGTAGCCGACTGACTAGAAGTGATTCAATTTGTGCCCATTCCAAAGTAATGTGACTCAAAAGAATGCTGAAACTGTAAAACAATGCCATTGATATCCACACAAGTGAAATCTTACTTCAAATCATCCAGCCAGCAGCAGTACATTGGCAGGGAATTGCCAGAACGGATTCAGAACAGGACGTAGAACAAGGGATACCAATTGCTGATGTCAGATGGATCTTGGCTCAAAGCAGAGAATACCAGAAAGATATTTACTTGTGCAAAGACATTCAACTGGGTGAATGTTAACAAACTGTGGACAACCTTGAGAAAAAGCGGGAATTCCAGAACGCTCCACTGGGCTCCTTTGGAACTTGTACCTGGGTCAAGAGGCAGTTGTGCAAACAGAACAAAAGCATACTGCATAGTTTAAAATCATAAAAGTTATGTGTCGGGTTGGATCTATTTCTCTAATGATTTGCTCGGCACACAGTTTGAACAAATACAGTGAGGCTGCCACGGGGAGGACATTGTAGTGCTTTGCTCTGTTGCACACAGGGTAAGGGTGGCCAGAGCCCACTCAGTGGTGGCTAATGACCACAAGCTTTTGTGATGGTTGCATGAAGTTGAATAGCAGTTGTACCGATTGGCTTTCCTTGAAGGCAAATAGTAGAATTGTACCTCAGGATGGATTTTGCAATGTCCTTTTTGACAATCCCATAAATGCCTCACCACTCCTCTTGATTGTTTTATTCCATGCATAGTAAATTATATGATCCTCTGATTCAAAATGACCAATGCATTTCAGCTCATGAATGCCTAGGATAGTGATCTTCATTTGTTCCATTTCATTTTTGATGACTTCCAATTGTCTTAGATTCATATTTTGCACAATCCAAATTCCAATCATTCACAGATTTTTGCAAGTTTCTCTTTCCCGTGAGTCATGCGCATCAGTAAATGAAGCTCCTGATGGCCCCAATTCCACAGGTTTTCCCCAAGTCATGTCACCATAGTGCGGTCAACTCCCCTCCGAGAAATCATCTACTTTACAGTCACCTCGTGAGGGCCCTTGGAACTGAGGGTCCCATCCTCTGCCACTGTCTCAGAAAAGGTTCTGTTTCCTTTGTTTAGGTTTTCAGAATTGGACCATGCTTTGAAACCATGCACACGATTCTCAGCGAATTCTTCCTCCTAAATGTGGGTCTGTGTCCTTCTCCATGGTCTCTGCTTAGTATGGAAGCTCCACCAAAACCCGTTCGCTCTGGGTGACCCTGCTGGCATTTCAAATACCAGTGACATAGTGACATAGCTCCCAGTGTCACAGCAGCACACTAGCCACCACAGTGTGACAGGTCTGAGTGCAGTTAAAATTTTATCTATAGTACTGAGTTTAGAAACAGGCCTCCTCTCTTAATCAGAAGTGTGATTTCTCTGTAAGGCACTGCATCAAGTACTCAGGCACCTAGAGTCACGGTGCCCTCATTGCTGGGATGAGGCATAAAATGAGAGTGAATTCAGCGATAGCAGCTTATTTGATTTTGAGCCACCAACAGGCTGTTTATATCCTGCCTACTTTCAACCAGTTCTAGCCTCACTTCAAGGTGTGGTGCGAATTAAATGGCTATAACTGAGTTTAAAGACATACACCATGGGGCTCAAAGCTGAATATCACACATAGAGCCTACCAGAGAGATATCCGACTATTTGAACTAGGAGAGTAACCAAGGGTACATAGATACCAGGTAAGTCTCAGTGTCAGTAGTAGCAAAAATAAAGACATTTATTCTGTATCCTGTATTTATGTCCCATTTCGATGAAGAATAAAAGAGGAGAAACATGTGATCACATGTTCATGTGTATTTGGGGAGAGGAGGGAAATTGGGTTGAAAGTGAAGTCCAACTGTGGGACACATGGGAATTCTCAGACTCCTGTTAGAGAACAGTGGGAGTATGCATTTCCTTAACCCATTCCTGGCAGTGACATTTTATTTGTATTAAATTATTTCTTCTTATCAACAGTGAATTCTAGTAAGATTTGACTTTCAAAAAGTTGCTGCTAGGATAACTGGAAGACATAGATCAAACAGCTCACATAATGGACAATAAGTTCATAATGAGAAATTTCTGATAAGAATATTTTTTTTCTTTGAATTTTCCCTCTCAATACGTTTCACAAAGTAACCTTGCAGCTTTAAAGATCAACTTGAAGTTTTCTATTTCACAGTTATAGGGAGAAAATTATTAATAAAATCAAAATTGCTAAATTTATTTTTCTTATTATACTACAATGTTGGTTTAAATATACCCTGGGGACTTCTATTTCCATTTTCTTGCATTGTACAAAATAATTTATGTGGCATTACCTGCTGTTGTCATTGCATGTGTTTTTATGCCTGTGGTAGGAATCACTGACTTATACATAAGTTGTTGGGTGGAAAAAGGAGTATATTGGATTGTTAGTATAATGCAATATATATATATTTTTCTAATGTAGGTTGTTTTCCAGTCTCAGTATTATCACAGAACTTACTCACCCTGCCAACATGAGATTCATGCAATTCAGAGCCAAAGACTGCTACTCTCTTGCTCTCTCAAAACTGGAAAAGGTAAGACTTCACTTCCTTAAGAATATTGTATTTAGCTCTTTCATTTAAAAAACTATATATATATATACATATATATATACATATATATACATACATACATATACATGTGTGTATCTCTATATATTGGAGAGAGAAATGCCACATGATGGTAAAAGTAACAATGCTGTTTGAATTCTAAATTTCTAGTTTAAATATTTTTTTAAATTGAATTGATGAATATGTACTATATGAACCATTTATATCACATCAATATGATAAAGATATCTTGTTATCATCATTCAAAAATTGAAATTATAACATTTATGATTTAATAATAATTAAAATGGTGCAATTGATATGTACATATTGAAAATTTAGATGTATTGATAACATTATTTATGATTTACTAGCTATACTATTGGGTCTATATTTATAGAGAGTTTTGCAGTTTTATAAAATCTTTAAGGTCATAGAAAAATGGTAGATTTTGTTGAAAGCTAGCTTCCCAAAGGTCAGTTTATTGCTTATCTTGGTAAAAAAATACCACCAACTCCTAAATCCTGGGAAACATTATTGTAAGTATTTTTTTTGCTGCAAAATCTAGTAATTACCATTTCCAAAGATGGATTACATATATTATGTTGTTGGGAGTCTCATTGTTGTTCTTTTAGGGACTAAGGGAAATCATTGTTATGTTAGCCTGGGTAGACTTGAGAAACAAATCCACAGCAACTCATATTTGTATAAGAGGAAGGTTTATAAAAGGTAAGTGTACATTAAGAAAGCATCCCTACCCAGTCCAGTGAAGCCCATAAGTCGGATATTTAGCCCATGTGTCCGACACTGATCTACAAAGTTCTCAACCTCACAAAACACATGCAATGATGCAAAATGCAGGAGGAAAGCCTGTGAGCATGTAAGCATCTCAGCGCCGGCAGAGGTCTCCACGCCGCTTCTGCAGCACCCAGGGCTGCATCTGGCTAGGTCCATGTGGCTTATCCTCAGGGATGTCTCACAGGAAGTGAACCTTGCCAGCTAAGGCAAAGAACTAGCTAAGGCAGCCGCACACAGGTCAGACCATCAGAGAGCAAGAGACTGAAAGGCAAGGCTCACTGACCATTTACCTCTCCGCCTTTCAATTACACTGCCCTTTAATTAAATCCACATG